GTCCGCAGGCTCGCGGACGATCCCTCCCCCGCCCGTCAGGGTGGTACAGGCGGCATCAAGGTGGGGGGCGGAGCGGGAGCAAGGGCGCAGGCGAGCAGTCTCGCTCTGCTCCGCGTCAACGGGGGGAGGCTGGGGGTGTTGGTATACCCCCGCCTGCTCGTCCCCCACTGGTCCCCGCTCCATCCCCCGCGGCAGGCCGGGCCCGCGGTTGCCGTCCGCGTGCCCGACGCTGCCGCTGCCGTCGCTGTGGCGGGCGGAGAAGGGGCACCTCACCCCTCCTCTCACGCTCCGCTGCCTCCTTCTGCGTGAGGACTCTCTCGCAGAAGGAGGCAAATGCGTGCCAGGACCTCTCCTCCTCCAGGATGGCGGCAATCACCGCTGGAAGGGAGAGGTCCTGTCCTACCTCGTGGACGAGCACTGCCCGCTCATCCGCCCACGCGGGGCACTCTGCCAGCGTATGCTGGGCAGTGTCGTCCACGGCCTCACAGTGGTGGCAGCCGGGAGTCTGCTCCCTTCCGATCCGACTCAGGTAGTGGCCGAAGCACCCGTGGCCAGTCAACACCTGAGTCATCCGGAAGGACAACCCGCCCCATCCTCTATCGACCCATTGATCGAGGAGGGGCCCGATTGCCTCGACGACGCGCAGCCCCGGGGTGTTGTTCCCCGAGGCTACTAACGCCTCTCGCCATTTGGCGATTGCGCGCCGCCGGTGCCGGAGTCTTTGCCGAGCACGGTGGTTCGCCGGCCATCTAATCGGCCTCCCCCCGGAGTCGCGGCTTTCGAGGAACATATCGTAATGCTCCTCCGCCACGATCTCCATTGGGGGGAGACCAGCGCCTGTATTCTCTTCTCCCTTCTCACTAACTCCTCTCCTCTCCTCTCATTTCCCCCCTTTCCCTCAATCTGTCTATTTCCTCCAGTCCCCATCCTTTTCCCTCGTAAAGTTCTTTTCTTTCTCTTTCCCATTCTCCCTTCGCCTCTCCCCTCTTAGCTCTCTCTCTTATCTCCTCCCAGCACTTCCTTGCAATCTCGCCTCCACCCCCTTCTCCTGACCTCCTTTCGTAGCTCCACGCTCTCAAACCCGCCCTCCCTTTTAATTTCTCCCATTGTAGCTCCTCCCTTACCATGTAACCCGGAGTGCTCCAACCTAGTACCCACTTTAAATATCTATCTTGGATCCTTTCTAATTCCTCCCTCTCTCTCCAC